CCCCCCAATCCTTCTGTAATCCCAGGGAGAAGGCAGTTTCTCACCACGCGGTAGGGCAGAAAAGAGAAAAAGTGAAAGGAAACAGCAGAGGACTACCGAGGAAATGGATAAGTGGTCCCCAAATGACTTTACAGTCCTTTCCTCTTAGCATTTTGTCTTTTGCTTCCTTAGCCTTTGCTTTTGAGATGATTCCCAAATTTCATAAATATAAATAAGTCAAACAGAGAAAGACAAATATCATATGATTTCCCTTATGTGTGGAATCTAAGGAGCAAAATAAAATAACAAACAAAATAGAAACAGATTCATGGATACAGAGATCAGACTGACAGTTGTCAGAGGGGCTGGGTGAAAAAGGTGAGGGGATTAAGAAGCACCAATTGATGGTTACAGAACAGTCACAGGGATGTAAAGTACAGTACAGCGTGGGGAACATAGCCAATAACACTGTAATAACTATGTACGGTGCCAAGTGGGTACTTGAAATGTTGGAGGGAACACTCTGTAAAGTGTATGATAGATAGTCTAACCACTATGCTCTACGCCTGAAACTAATACAAAATTAAATACTGAATGTAAACTATAATTGACAAATAAAACCATTAGATGCATAAGTACCCAGGGTGACATGGAGTGTTGGGAAGACATCTAGACAGGAGGCAGAAGCCCCGCAAACTAGCATTCACTGCCTGTTGTGTAATCCTGGGGTAATCAATTAAAAGAGGTGAATTTCTTCATCAATAAAGCATGGCACTATTATCAGCTCTCCGATCTTATTGTAAGAGTCAAATGAAATGATAAACATAAGACTTCTCTGTAACTTGCAAACAATAATAATAGCAGTAAATTGATATCTTTATTATTATTCTTGAATACCTCTGATGTGTCAGGTACCATTTAAAATGTTTTACATGAAAACTCCTTTAAGCCTTACACTAACATTATAAGGTAGGTGCTGTTATTAGCCTCATTTCACAAATGAGAAAACGGAGACATAGAGGCTAACTTGTCCAAGATTTTAAAGGTGAGAGCTCTGATTCAAACCCAGGCAGTTGAACTTCAGAGCTCTATGATTTACTATCTCCCTATACAAACCTAAATTTAAAATAAAGTTATCTCAGAATAAAAATAGGAAAACTCCATAACATGCTGTATAAAGCTCACTTCTCTAAAGAAAAGGCTTCATGGAGCTGTAGCATAGTCGGTAGGGCCTACCAACAAATAGCTGAGTCCAGCAAGAAAAGGTGGTCATTCTTACACGCATGTGGACCGAACAGTCTTGAAAACCAAAAGGTGCTTAATGTCACATAGATATAATTATGCTGCATTTAGATAAATATTTAATGAAACTGTTTATGCGATCAAAATTCTACAATTAAGCCAATGGGTATCCCAAGGCCCGGTAGTGGGCTTTAATTAGAGTAAGACAATTACAAATTGTGAAACTTTTCTTTCATCTCACCTCTGGGTAGATAAAGATACTGACTATTGCTTTCGGTTAACAGTGGAAGGGGGCCAGAAGTTTAGATACAGAGATGAATCTGAGTTCTTAATCACTCACCCATACCTGCTACCTGGAGAAAACCTACTGGCTTCTTTTTCTTTCCATTTCTTTCCCTTGTTGGAGCTCCTTCGCAACGGTGCCCTATGAAGAGAGCACGCAGTCAGAAAGGGGGCGCTGGCATTTTCTCTTTTTAATCCCTCTTTTACAGAGGGCTTGCTTTTAACATCATGAAGTGCTTACCCCAGATCCACAAACTTCCGCTTAATTTTTCCTCCTTGCACCACCAACGAACTGGGCGCTCTTAGTGGTTTGGGACCTTTGGCACCACCTAGGATATACACATATGGTAAGAAAGACTGGTTATTATTATTTTTTTAAAGCCATGAGTCAAAAGTCAGTGCATCTCTCAACAGATTTGCCTCAATTTCTAATTGTAAAAGATAATAATGGATGTCTTTTTTTTTTTTTTTTTTAAGATGCAGTAAACCTAGCTATGCTGAGAACCATGCAGCTAAGCCAGGAGATGTCCTGTTGGACCGAAGCCCAATACTCATTTCAAAGAGCTTTAGCTTCAAATATATTGGAATGAACAAAATAACAAGGGATAAACACCATCAAATCACCCTTTACATAAAGCAGGACCAGTATGACACGACTTTCATTTTGTTCCTGCGCCTTCTGAGAGGAATCTGGCCCCCTTATCTCTCAAGTCCGCTACAGAAAGTCACCCGCCCGAGTCTGAGAGATTTAGGGAGAAAGTGAATCAGAGCTTTCCCTTCTGGTCCCTCCCTTGCTAATGGCCTGTGGCCAGCCCTGGGACAGACGAGGGCAGAACATGGGGAAGATGTTCTTAAGCAGGGGCTCAGCTCTACGACACTGAATATCTTTGAAAGTTCTCTCTTTGAAGTTGGGTTGGAGCGTAACTCGGCTGCTCCTCAGTACTTGGAGCTGAATGATCTTTGCCTCTGAGTTATGCTGGCACTCTGAATGGCAGCAGCTGGGGATGGGGGCACTCAAAATAATGCCAAAAACCAATCAGTGGAGAGGCTCTGCAAACGGAGTTCAATGTTAAATGTAGGAGCTAGAATCTACTGGTAAAACTTATTCCACCTTGGACAAGGCAGATAACTCCTAAGGCTCTACCTGAAACCACTGAGCAAAGGGTGCTGTTTGGTTTTATCTTTCAACAAATCCAGGTATCTGAGATGGTTAAAAAAGGGTGTTTTAATTTTGAAGCATATTAGGGTGTGAAACTACTCCTTTCTAATTGTCTGTTGGTGTCTGTCTCTAGCTCTTTAAAATTAAAAAAATTCCAGCAACTTCCTGGCATGGAGTGCAGAGAGAATAGTCCTAAGAAAGTGTTTAATTAACCATGCAGGTTAATTTTGCTTATAATTTTGTTTACTGCAGGAAAAATTTCTTAACACACATACTTATAAAACATGAAGAACGTACACAGTTCTCATTTAGATCTATGTTCAAAGCTCTAAAGAAGCACAGGACACTGACAAAGACTCTAAGGATTTTTCGCAATGAGCTTTTCATCTTTTTGGTTAGTGATATACAGATTACAATAATTCCTTCAAATGTACATAATAAAATAAAAGACTCAGAAATACATCCATGTCCAAATCCACTTCTAACCTCAAATATTCTGAGTATTTGCAACAGTACTCTTTGGGTAACTGAATTAAATAGCCACAGATGTGACAAAGACACGTAAAGAAAATCCAAAGACACAAATACCTTCTGAGGTGATTTTGCTAATGGAGGTTTTTAAAAAGCAGAATTTCAGTTCTCTTAAGGGAAGGCAAAGAAAGTCCTGGATCCTTCCAGATCAATCCTAAAGCAACTCTTAATGGTTAGGACTGTGCAAAGTTAAAAAGAAGACTGCCTAATTATTTTCTGAATTAGAGGTAGCTGGGAGATGTTTTAACGAGCGGTGAGAGGACCAGATGAGACAATGTACTTGGATACACTCTGTAACCTATTAGTGTTGCAGTTATTGGACCTCTTGGGACTAAAAGCCTGATTCTGCCCATTGCACAGCCTGCTGCTAGGCAACCTCACATCATTATCTCACACATTTGCCAAAGTGTGTTCCAAGGAACACTTACGTGAATGCTTTTAAAAGGCTGAAGAGGCAAGATTAAGTAACAATGCACTTTCCCATTTTAAATCAATCAAGTGCCCGTTAATGGACATCAGAACCTCTAGTCTGTGTAAAGACCAATATTGGATTGTTATGATTTCAGAAAAAGAAATGTGACATTTTTTGTTTGTTATTTAGTTTTATATGAAATTTCTGTTAGGATTTTTGAAATCTCTCCAACACTACCTTCATGACAAATTAGAAGTCCGGGGACCTAGTCCTAGATCTGACAGCTAAATCCTATGGCTTTTATGGACTTCATTCTCCTCAGTCTCATTGCAGCAAGACCCTTGACTACCTCTCCCTGTACTGCGGGGATCCCCAAATTGACTTTCCAGCCCTGGCTTCTCTGCTGAGCTTACAACCTCCTCTATTACAAATGAGGTGATCATCCTTCCCCCATAATGTTTCTGATTTCCAATTTTCTATTAAAGTCAATGCCATGTTTTTTGAGGCCAGAAACCCTGTGGTCAGTTTTAATCTCCTCACTTTCTTCCCCCTGTATCTAGTCAACTTGTTTCAAGGGTTCTTGCATCTTTCCTGTCACTGTCCATTGCTCCTCCTAGAGGTGGTCACTTCAGAGTGTCTCCTAGCTCGTCTTTCCCACACCTGGCGTCTTTCCCTTTTTATTCCTCTGCTTGAACATCTTATGCTTTCCTAGCAAGGTAAGGTATCTATGGTATTTAAATCCTACAGCTATAGACTTAACCTACCTATTCAATTTTATGTGCAACCACTCTAACCCACATGAACAAACTGCTTCAGGAAGGCTGGGCAGCCCCATTCCTTTAAATTCATCACATGTGTGCCTGTCTCTGGCAATGCCACCTCTCTCTGCTTGACATGCCTTCCCTTTCTGCTTTTCAGTTCCTCAATGGTTACTCTAGCTGTATGTTCTTTGTTTACCAACCTCAGTTAGATATAACCTTGCCATCCTCTGAGCAATGATAAAATTTCCTATTTCTATATTTATAAAGACCTTATACAACATATTAATAGTAGATTAATCATGGAAATATTTCTACTTGCCAGGACATTAATTCAACAGATATTTTTGAAGACATGTTCTGTGTCAGGCAATGTGCTAATAGCTACATGTAAAATTAGAATAATAATCTCTAGAAATCACCAGTAGAAAACTGATAGTGTTTAATTTCTTTTACTTAACCTTGTCTGCAATAAAGGCCCATTGCTATGTAAGTCTAGAGATCAAAAGTTTAGTATTAGGTTACTCAAAGAACAGGCATGAGGAAAACATGTTCATGTCTCCTATATCATATAACTTGTTTTATAAACCTCTAGAAATAATCTTTTACTTCCTCTAATTTTAACTGAAATGGGGTTAATGTTTATCATTTAGCCAGTTATAATGGGACTTTTTCTACCCTAGTTTCCACTGAGGTCCCACAAATACGACAATGAAATGATGACTTGTGAAGGCAGCACTGACACCTTTTAGAGAACTCCCAACTTCAGTTAAGTGTTCAATCACACCAGAGCATTATCCTCAGAATTGCAATCCAATACATCTAGAACTTAATTACTACCTTTGTAGTAACTTGATAGACCAAAAGCAATGGTATATTAACTTTAAAAAAAATCTAGACAGCCCGGCCGGGCGTGGCTCAGTGGTTGAGCATCGACCTAGGATCCAGGAGATCGGGGTTCGATTCCTGGTTAGGGCACATGCCCAGGTTGCGGGCTGTAGCCGATCAATGACTCTCTCATCATTGATGTTTCTCTCTCTCTCTCTCTCTCCCCCTCTTCCTTCCTCTCTCTGAAATCAATAAAGATATATTTAAATAAAATAAAATAAAATAATCTAGACAGAGGGTATCCAGCAATGTTCAGTGGAAGGAAATATAAGTCTATACCAGGGATCAGCAAGCTTTTTCGGTAAAGGGACAGACAGAAAAATTTAGGCTGTGGGCTCTTGTCTCTGTGACAACTACACAACTCTGCTATTGTAGTGGGAAAGCAGACAGTATCCAACTGAGTGAGTGTGGCTGTGACTTTATAAGCACAGGGGGAGGCTGGATGTGGTTTGATGACCTCTGTTCTAGAGCACCTGCACTGGTTATCTGTAGGGACATACTTATCAGTTCACCCAAGACACTTATTATGCATCAATTATATGCCATATTCTTTTTGGGGACTAAGAATACAGGGATGAACACGATGCATGAGAAAACTCTGGCTCACACTTGACAGCTAGAGAGAGAGAGACTGACTGGTCTGCAAACTCCTTGAGGGAAAGCATGGAATCTTGTAATCGTTAATTTGGTCTTTAGTACAAGGCCTGGCACAGAGCAGGTGCTCAGCAACTGCTGAATAAATACAGGATGAATGGATCAGTGTCAATGAACATGGAAGGCAAAGAAAACTCTTCAAGGGAAGGAAAAACGTGAGGCACTGCTCTCATTTGGTCCCAGTTAATACTCTAACAACGGTTATCATACTAGTACCTGACTATTGATAAAGTCAGTACTTAATAAAAGTAAAATCCGCCCAGAAAAATTGAAAATGGGAAAAGCTCAAGTACTTGGCCTCCGGAGAAGAAGCAAACCACTCACTCCCTAGCCCCTGGTCCTCAGGACAGCTGGGAACTTCATCCCAGAGACACAACAGTTACAAACAAGGGAGGCACTGGGGAAAAGGGTGAGTTTTACTGCTAACTGTTGCTAATCACACTTTACAGGATGACTGCTGCCAGACTGCAAAGCACAGTTCCTGTCCATGTAATACTTCTAAAACTGAGAGGAAACATCTGCTGGCTTCAAAGATTCACAAATACGTTTGACGTAAAAGGCAGAGAGAAATAATCTAAACAAGGTTTAGCTGCTTTGAAAAATCTTTGGGTCAGATTTCATGTGTGCGAGATCCACTCCCTGACTATACGTAATTTCTGTCAAAGACCTGGTTATGCTCAATAAACTCAGTGGGCCACAAAGTACTAACCTTTAGATCCAAATATACACTTCTGTTTTGTCTTCTTATGGACAATTAAGGTCCATACATATATTTTTCTGAAGGTATATGATAGAGGGCTTATTTCTATAAAAAGCATATTTCTATAATAAGCATATTTCTATAAAAAGTGCTATTATGACCCAAAGTTTAGGTTAATTGATGAGAGTGTGTGAAGCCTTTTGTTCATCTGGAAGTAGGCCAAAATCACAGTGCAAGTCTTTCACCAACTTGACAACCACTTTTTTCCCTTTTAAATATATCTTTACTGATTTCAGAGAGATGAATGGAGAGAGAGAGAAAGAGTGTGGAGGGAGAGAGAGAGTGTGGTTTACTCATTTCCCTCCTGCACAGGCTCATTAGAGGGATGTACCGCAGTTCATTTCTCTATCCCACTGGTGACTACTCCAGTGCTCACCAGGTTTTGGTTGTTCCCAGGTTTTACTATTACACAACAGGGCTGCTGTGGATATTCTCGTACGTGATTCTTAGGAGACAAGTGCAGGATTTCTTTTGGATATATAAACAGGTGAAGACTTGCTGCGTAGGCACATTTTCAGATTTACTAGGTAATGCCAAATGGTTTCCAAAAAACCTGCACCAATTTACACTTCCACCAACAAGTATCTGATTTATGGTTGTCTTACATATTTGCCACCATTCGGTAATATCAGATTTTAATTTTTTGGCAATATGGTAGGTATAAAATTGTATCTCATTTGACTGATTTCATACAATGGGGTTGAACAGCTTTTCATAAATATTAGGGGCATTTGATTTCCTTTCTCTATGAAGTGCCTGTTCAGGACATTACACATTTTCCTCCTGTATTATGTGTCTTTTTTTAGTGCTTTATAGGAGTTACTTACATAATCTTGGCACTAACTCTGATAGTTACATGGGTAGTAAATATCTTCTCCAAGTTTTTGGGATTCTTTATTGTGTCTTTTGAGAAATAGAAGTTTCTATTGTCTACCGCTACTAAGAGTTTTCTGAGATAGTTGCAGAGTATAAAGAAAAAAACAAACACCCATTTCCCTTGTCATCCCACCACCATGGCAGTTCATAATTATGAAGTCCCAGGGTGTATTCACTTAATATCATTCGACTTTAACAATCTTTTCGTTGTGGTTTCTGTTTTTTGCATCTCGTTTAAGAAATCCTTCCTTACCCTGAGGTCACAAAATGTTCTCCTGTATACTTTTTAAAGCTTTATGATTTTCACCCTAGCTGGTCTTGCCCAGTGGTTAGAGCATCGGCCTGCGGACTGAAGGGTCCCGGGTTCGATTCTGGCCAAGGGCACGTTCCTGGGTTGCAGGCTCGGGCCCCGGCCCTGGTCGGGGTGTGTGCAGGAGGCAACTAATTGATGTCTCACATCGATGTTTCTGTCTCTCTCTCCCCCTTCCACTGTCTCTGAAAAGCAATAGAAAATATTCTTGGGTGGGGATTAAAAAAATATAAAAATAAAGCTTTAAGGTTTTCTATTATCCAGTTAAGTGTTGAATCCTCGAGTGAAATTTTTGCATGGTATGTGATGGGGGCAGCTCATTATAATTTTAAAAAATATGGATAACCAATTTTCCCAGAACAATTTATTAAAAACTATTCTTTTGCTACCCATCTATACATGGCAGCTGTCATAAAATGTATGTGTGTATAAAATCTGCTTCTAAGCTCTTTATTTTGTTCCTTAGTTTATTTTCATACCTCTGTATAAAGAATATACAGAATTAAATAATTCCAGGTTTCAGGTAAGCCAAGGCCCTCCACCTCAGTCTTCTTCAAGAGTTTCAGGTGTTTTGGCCTTTTTTTCTTTCTTATAAATTTAGAATCAGCTTGCCAAGTTCCACAAATTGTTGTACTGAATCTCTAGATCAGTATGGATAGAAATGAGATTTCTTTTTTGCTATTCAATTTTTTAAAAATGACAAAAGAATTTTACAGTGAACAAACATGTATCTACCCCCTAGCTTCCATAATTTCCATTTTGCTACATTTTCTTTATTAGACAGCCATCGCTCTACTCTCCTATTAATCCATTAGTTTTTAACTGCATTTCAACGTAAGTTGCAGACACTTCACCCTTATACTCATCAAGGTATTGATTTTTACACATTTACTTTAGATCTTGTGCGTGTATATATACACTTATGTACATTTCAGATGTGAAAGATAATACAGTTGACCCTTGAACAACATGGATTTTAACTGCATGGGTCCACCTATACACAGATTAGATTTTTTCAATAAATATGGAGTAAGCCCTCTGTATCTTCGGGTTTTCCATCCGCAGATTCAACCACCCGTGGATTAAAAACAGCATTTTCGATCTGCGGTTGGGAATGTATAGATATGGAGGACCAACTGTGCTCCTGTTCTACACCATTTCATGTAAGGGATTTGAGCATTCGTGAATTTGGGCATCCACGGGGATTCCTGGAACCAATCCCCCAAGGACACCACGGGACAACAGTAGTTAAGTTTTAAATAAAAAATTATATGTGGATTTTCAACTGTGCGAGGGTCAATACTCCTAGTTCCTCATTGTTTAAGGGTCACTAGATAACCCAATCTACTTGGTTACCTTGTCAGATATGGTAGGAAGAGAATGAACCTATTCTTTATTCATCACTGCAATACTTAACTTGTTTAAATAAGAACTTATTACTTCTATAAATTAAAATAGACTATTAAAAAGACAAAAGTCTATTGACACTGCTTTGAAATTCTGGTGTTAATTCTAGGAGCCTCTTTTAAAATTTAATAGACTAATCCCCCTGCATTACCTTTATCATAACTTTCTATCACATTCTTTTGCATATTTAAATGATTATTGTGAAAACGTCTAAATAAAAACCAAATTAATAGGTTAATACTTATAACGCTTTCATCTTCCCATATATATTTTTTTATATGACTGTGTAGTGTTTATTGAAACTCGGCTGCTATTCTACAAAATCTCTAGAAGGCCTTCTGAGGAATTTCATTCATTAGTAAACCTGTGGAGAGCTAAAGTACCAATATTAAAGGTAGGAAAAGATAAAAATAAATAAATTGAAGAGGGATGTTCTCTTATCCCATAACATTAAAAAAGCAATATTAATTATCAGCTGTGAAAAGACAATGGACTTAGGATTATGAGAAAAAAGCTATTTTTATATTGCACAAATCAAGGTGTTAGTGAAGTTAGAAAAAATGAAAGAAAAACAACACCACAAATTAACAGTACCTTTTTCTTGTGATATGTTCCTGGTGGTGGCTTGATGGTGGCAAGGAGATTCTTCCATATCATTGTCAGATTTTGAAGGAGAGGAGAGTGAAGTGTTTCCCCAAATAGAGGAAGTCTCCCTTTCTGGTTGCAGGGGTCCTTGGAATTCAGCTATGTGGTCAGACTCGGAGAAGGGCACACTGCCGGCCACTGAAGTGAGGGATGGAGCACCAGAATCTGATTCTGGAGAAGTTCTCAAACCCTTGGGCGGAAGTGATTTGGTAATATGCATGTGGTTATGGAAACTGTTTGAAGGCTGTTGATATAAGAGATTATAAAGGAGGTTATGCCACTGAGCATCGGTTCCATGAATACTTACTTTGAAATCAGATTGACCTTTTTTTTTTTTTTTTTTTTTTTANTTTTTTTTTTTTTTATTTTTTTCTTTTTTTTTTTTTTTTTTTTTTTTTTTTTTTTTTTTTTTTTTTTTTTTTTTTTTTTTCGTAAATCCCCATGAAAACCAATTTTGTTTGTTGGTTTACAAATGAGACTCCATAGTTCACAATGACTCACCATATCATCACTGTAACTAACACAGACACCTAAGATATACAGAAACAATTACTTGTACATTCATTATTTCCCGCTAGGTAGAACCGACTGCTGAATATAAAAGACACCATCATGAAAGATGACAATGTGAATGCTCTTGGTTAGTTCATTGAATGAGTACAGAAAGAATTTGAATTACAACAATGTATCCAGTTGAGTAAGGATTTTGGAGACAAAAGGTGAACTATTCCAGCTATTTCCAACTAGGGCATAGAATCTGGTTGCAGAGAAGTCAGTAAACTGTAGGAACAAGGATAAGGCCCAGCACTGTAAGTCAGAAAACGGTCAAAGGTCTCACCTTTCGCTCTAGACTGTCCTCTCCATCTGTGGAACTGACACTGTCATAGAGTCGTGTCCTAGAAGGCCTCTGGCGTCTGTTCTTCACTGAGAGCTGGGCGCGGGTTTTCAGCGCTTTTGAATCCAGGCGCTCTGTCTCTGGGACTGCTTCGTTCAAGTCTGAGGAAAGAATATTGGAAAATAGTCAGGGAAAGAGAGCTTTGGAGAGAACTGCTAAAGAGACCACAGACGCTGAGAACAGAATCTCAGAGCTACCAGTAACATCAGGCAAAAACCACGATGGCCTAATATCCCACAGGCAATAGAAAAAATAAAAATACCCGGGCCCCGCTGGCGTGGCTCAGCGGTTGAGCATTGGCCTAGGATCCAGGAGATCGCGGTTCGATTCCCGGTCAGGGCATGTGCCTGGGTTGCGGGCTCGATCCCCGGCGGGGGGCGTGCAGGAGGCAGCCGATCAATGGCTCACTCATTGATGTTTCTCTCTCTCTCCCCCTCTCCCTTCCTCTCTCAGAAATCAATAAAGATATATTAAAAAGAAAATCCAGGAGATCTAGGAGAAATATACAAAGTCTTAGAGGAAAAAACCAACCCTAAAGATGACCAAGGAAACAACAAGAATGTAACATCCAAAGAGAATAAAACCTCCCTACAACATAATTATAAAAAGCATTGATTTGTACTTATTTATGAATGTGTATGAATGCTAGAGCATTTGATGAACAAATATACAAGAGGAAAGTCTATCAAAGTTGTGAGATGTTCGAAACCAAGGACAAAAACCTACAAAGGTCAGGTGTCAGGTCAAGTATATGCAATAAAAGATGACTATCAGTGTAAATTTTCTTTAGCAAAATTTACTAATAGGCTTTTATCTTTTTACTTTTACCTTTTCAGAGTGGCAATCATTAAATGAAATCATAATGTTAAAAAAATTAATAATTAAGTACTTCTGGATTTAAATGATTAAAATAAAGCAAATAACAGAGTTGCAAAAATTAATAAAGTACTGATATTAAGAGAATAAAACGATTTCTTACGGGAGCATTACCCCAGGGCATTCTTTTCACAGTATTATTATAAAGGTATGTCCTAAATACATTATATTACAAAACTAAAGCAAGGAAGCACCTCAGGCTGTACCTCTCTTACATATGGAACTTAGCACTTGGCATATGATTCTAACAAACACATTTTTTCCTGGGAGAAACATCCACTGAATGACAATATTTAAAGAAGATTCTGACTTTTCATTTCCCATATGTGAAAGAAAAGTGAATTAAGAAAAATCAGACCGTTAAGGTATATATAAAAAACAGCTAAATACTTTCTGATTAGTAGCTTTACTTTTTACATGTCAACGAAGAAAAAAATAATCTCCTTGATCACCTTCATTTCCTCCTTCCAATAAAACATAAACCTGTAGCTACCCACTAAGAGTTCATTAATTTTGATAACTGGGGAAAAACTAACCTTACGAGCTCTTACTTACATATAAAATGTGGAACCACCAAATAGATGAAAGCAAAAATATGATTAGATATACTGTCGTACATGCACATTTTGCAGCTTATCTGTTTTGTGTTTGGATTTTATGTTCTATGACACAAAGTACTGTCACATATACCATCCCATGTGTCCTCACAACAGCTCCAAGAGCCAAAGCAGCCAAGTATGTTGTTTCCTCTCCTGAGCTCCGAGAACTTGAATAACTCACCGTCACCTACGTAGCTAGTTGATGAGCTGCCATGATCATTCCGGCCTCTTGATTCCCAGGCTACTACTCTGTGCACTCCAATTTAATGAACAAGTTACTAGAATAAGATTTTAATGCCATCAGGGTTCAGTGTTTTTCGGTTGTAAAATCACATTTGGTGTGACTAGTCTAGGAAATTCACTTCTCTGACAGGCTACATATGAAACCTTACCACTAACCTTCCACATATGTGTTAAGAGAGCATAAAAAAGGAAGACATTGAAAACTATAGAAAAAAACAATTTCTTAGACGATTTTTTGTTTGGTTGGTTTAATAACAGCTTTGGTTACTTGGTGACAGACAGACCTAAAGTGGAAGCTCTTTCTACTTTCATAAATATGGCTCCTTTTGCAACAGACTCCTGGCCCTGGTGGACCCAACAGAGCACTCAACTCCATCACTAGGTATTGAACAAACAGAGTGAGGGAACAGGGGGACTACTTCTTAGCAGGGTTTAGAATATAGAGAATTTATTCTGGGACTTCTGGTTCCATTACTATTCAGTAATTTGTCAGGTACTGTATCAGTCAACCCCCAAACGGCAATCTGTTAGATCTGCTCTAGTATCAGCTAGTGCTGACTAGGTGTGACCCGCTGAGGGCATGCATGGAACTACATCTTTTAAAGATGAAGTCATCTGGAATCTGAAAAGATCCAAGTGGCCAATGATGCATCACATCCAATTAACAATTTTGAGTGTCTGAAACAGAAATCTCAGGGCCACTCTACAGTAGTGATTCATGGATTACAGATCAGTAATTTACATTCCAATCGAGAAAAAAAAGTTTTAAAGCAAAAAAAAAAAAGGGAAAATGGAATGTAGCTGAGAACATTCACTTCAACAGCTCTTACCCCTCCAGAAGGAAGTTAGTTGGAAGGAATGCTGTCCAGGAGACACCACAAGTAACAACCCCTCTAGGAGTATTAGAGGAGATGTGTAGTAGGACATGTCAAGGACTTAGGCTGCTGAGTACTGGAAAAGTGATCTGTTTGACCACTAGAAGCTATCTTTTTCTATCATGCCATATAAGGATCAGATTATTATAATTCAGAAGAACCATGAAGATTCTAGCCCCCTTCTTTCTCAGACAGGAAAACTAAGGCTCAAAGGTTACTGACTTCTCTACTAACTGCAGCACACAGTTGGTCTGTGGAAGAGACAAGGGAGAGTTCTGTCTCGGAAGCCTATCCTTCCAGAAGTTCTCTCTCAAGTCTGAAGGTAAACCTCACAAGCAACCTGCCTTCTTCGAATCCTCTTTTTAGTTTTATGTTCCAAACAAAAATACTTGTCAAGGGCTAACTTTGCAAATTCCCAGAAGTATACAGTGCCAGAAGAAGAAAAACTGAAGGATTTCATTTGGCTTTATATTAATCCAAGAAATAAAACTCTTACATAAAAAAGTATCTGTCGGTTTTGTGGACGGTGACGTGGCAGGAGAAATCCGACCGGCTTAATGATTGTAAGCTGTGTGCTACTAAACGCACGGGCTTCGGTGGTGTGTTTTCCCACGGCCGTTCTCTCTCTACAGAGATCTTAATCAATAGCATCACACTGCTTTTATAAACCCACGGCTCTGGATTCTTCCTCTACCCCTTCTCTCCAGGTCACCTTGCTCTGTTGTCCATGATAATCAGAGGAAAATTTCATTTTCCTTTCCCTTTGTTCTCTGTTCTTTCTTTCAGACCCTCCAGTCTCTGAAATAGCCTTTTCTCACTCAAATTCAACTAGAAATACAAAAAGAAGAACAGACTCAGGCGAATCAATAAACAAAGATCGACAGATAAAGAAAAGATAGAAAGTAGCTGATGACAGAGCAGTTTGAAGTGGGTGGGACTGGGCCTCAGTCTACCTACATCTTAAGGGCAGTCTCATTATTGCTGTGAATTGGAGCCTCTAAAGTAACGTAATGCATTTGAGTATGATTTTAGCAGCTGTTATGAAAAATGCTCTGAGAAATTAGGATGCTATATATCATAAATCACAGAGATCAGTTCCCTGAAGCAATGCTGTGAGTCATTCGGTTTTTTCACTAGATTGACGTTATTTTTGACGTAAATGGAGTGCTGCCCACGGATCAGACACAGGCGGCAGGGGAGGGGGGGATGGAGGGGCATAGCGACGCGGTCGGCTCCGCATTCTCCTGTGCACTGTTCTCCTCAAAACCAGTCGGACCTCCAACCATCACGCTGCCTGGCTTGTGCTATTAGCAACTGAAATGCTCAGCATAATGAGATACTTGGTGACATTTTTAATGCATATAATTCACAGTCACTGCAAGTTCATAGGGTTCGTACATCCAGGACTCAGAGGCAGGTTTATGTATTGCACAGAGGAGGTGTCAATAGTTACACTGGAGTTGGTCTTCCTTGAATAGAACCCAGAACAGTGACTCTGCCACGAAACTGGGAATATACCTAAACTCTCTGTCCCTCGGAATCTTCAACTGCAAAACTGGGATGATCATAGCATAACACAATAATTGCATTTTATGAAGACTAAATGCATAAAAAGGTATATAAGTGCTTAGAAGAATGGTACATAATAAGCACTCAATAAATGTCTTTATTTGCTGACAATAAAAATGTTAGCAAGATATTCTTAAGCGATAAAATCAAATTTCAGAACAATACGTATCTTCACCTTAAATATTTAAAAACAGCAATATATAGTGCATTTTCTAATGGTAAATACATGCATATAATTCCATAGAAAAAAACATATGAGAAACATACACTTCAGACTCATAATGGTGGTTACTTCCAAAGAAGGCATTAGATCTGGAGATGTTGGTCAATAGGTAATTTGTAATGTTAACATTTTTTGTATTATGTATTTTTTTTTTTCTTTGCATTTATGTATTATTTATGTAATTAAACTTAGCAAAAAAGAAAAAAACATATTCAGCACATTTTCTTTTACAGACATCTTCATTCCATTCAAATCTGATAGCTCTGGTGTTTCAGGACTCAGAATTCCCAGATATTAATATTAGCTCAGGTAACTGTCCAAATCTGTGTGACTCTCAGCCTGCCCCACGTGAGGAGGCTGCTCTGTCATGACATCTATGGAGACTGTTTGCCTGCCTTGCTCCTTTACTAACTGCCTGATGATTTGGCCTAAATAAGGCCCTATGGCTTAGCCTCCAGTTACTACTTTGTGTTAGTATTATATGGGGAAGATGTATTGAATCAGAAACAGCTATTTGAGACCAAGTTACATAACTTCAGCTCATTTCATGAGAACACTTTGGTTAGGAACCCATCCATGGGCATCTCTCACCCTGAACTCTATTAACAATTAGTTTCTTTATAAACACTTAAAAGTTGATAGATTTTGTACCCCAAGTAGTATTTATAAAAATTTAGGAAGCTGATTTCTTATTGTTTCAGAACAAATAGAAGATT